TTTTATCATTTTAATTGAATTGTCACAGGATATTACTCGGATCATATACTATTTATATCTTTAATTTATAGAAAGAGTTAATTCCATTTTTATTTTTTTTTTGTTATAGATTTATAGATGACAGTTCATTTTTTTTTTTATAAAAAAAAACATTTTTATTTGGTGATAGTATTATTGCCGCATAATCATTTTTGATCATTAATTAACAAAATCATTAAAATATCTTTAGGCCATTTCGATGGTTTAATATGATGAGTATATCCAATGTAGTCCCATGACATTAAAAACAAAATCATTTTTACAGTAATATTTTACAAACTCTAATGAATAATGGAATCCTGTTTCATAATGAATGTCTTAAAGAAAATACATTAGTTTAGCAGAAGCGTAATTAAGAACGAGAATTCGCCGCAGGCATCTTGCGACGGCAGAGAGGGCAGGAAAGGCTTATCTCCAGCCAAGATGAGAGACACTCTTCGTGAAAGGAGTTATGGCTGCACGGCATCACACCCACATCTGTCCCCGCCGTTAATTCCTCCAAACAAATAACGCAACAACTACCGTCGTACTCTTCATTATCCATTCTCTTCCTCTTTAACGACATCACTATCAAACCGCCATCGGAGGCAGCGCCGCCGCCATTTACTCCGAAATCTCGATCATCCTCGTACGTTTCTTGAACCTCGTCGTCGGAACCTCGTATCTGAACCGACTGTATGTCAACCCGAAGATCACACTTAAACTGCAACGCTTTCTCCACCACCTCGTCGGCGATGTCAAGGACGGTGCCGGCGTCAATAGCCCAGTAACACAGCCCTTCGGAGAAGATGAAATTCCGACAGTCGTCTCCCGATTCCTCCGCCAGCATGTCGTCGCTCAGGCATATGGTTCGCGATTCCATCTCGTATTCTCCATCGTCAACTGTGTGGTGATAGAAGCGGACATGGACGTGAGATCGAGACGGCGTAGAAGCGAACGGAGCATTATCTACTCCAACGGTGGGATACGGCCGTACAGAATAGGTTGTGAGATAGTCGGAATAGTCGTCAATTCCACTCTCCTCCATTACTTAATCCTTTCTTCTTTTTCTCTTCAGCTTAAGTTGCGGATTAAGAGAGTTGTTTCCTAAATCCTTATTTGACTGTGAATTGTCCAGCTTTTATATAAGAAAACTTTCTTGAACCTCAAGTCAATTGAAATCTTAGGATTAGGGTTAAAATCTACTATAGAGTTAGGCCTATGGGTAGAAAAAATGACGATCAAATTTTTTAATCAAATGAATGACTAGTTTGATCAGATTTTAATTTTTCTTTAAGATTTCATAATTTATCTTTAATGAATATGATTATTTGTTATCTTTTCCATTAATTTCTGTTAGTTCACCGTTAATTAGTACTCTATTTTACACTTATTAAATTAAACAATAATTTAGTAGCGGCAAGAAAAAATAATACATATGCATTTCTTTAATTTAGAATTATGTGTATACAATGTCTTGATTCAAAAAAAATTATTCATTATGAATAAATTAAATAAAAGAAATATCAAGATCATGTGGTCTAATGGTACCTGGCTGGGTTGGATTTTCATTTGGAAGGTTGTGAGTTCGAGTTTCAGTGGAAAAAATAAGGGAAATAATTTTATTAGTTATATTGTCTTTATTTTCTCAAATATAAAAATTCTTTACATTCAAATTCATCAATTGATTATATTCGCTACATTGTCTCTACAATGTCTTTATTTTAAAAAAAATTATTCTTTATTAATAAATTAATTAAGAGAAATAATTTTATTAGTTATATTGTCTTTATATTTCTCCAATGTAAAAATTCTTTAATTACATTCAAATTCATCAATTGATTATATTCACTACATTGTCTATATTATCTTTTTTTTTTTTGTGCATCATTTTTTAATTAAATATCAAAGTTATAATACAAAATAATGCTATATATTTATTTACCAAGTATTTTATTAATACCATGAAAAAATTTTTAAAAAATAATTAATAAAGTCAATTATATTAACTACTTGAGGAATTTGTTGACAAAGAGAGTATTCAAATCACACAACAAATTGAAGTGAGAACTACCTCGCAATGTTCTTGTTTGACAATCAACAGTTAGCGGATTATAATAGCGGATTTGACCAGCGAATTATATCAACGGTTGGTAAAAAGATATTTGAAAAAAATTAGCTGTTTAGATTAACATGTAAAATTACCTAAGGGTATACATAACAATAATAATAATAATAATAATAATAATAATAATAATAATAATAATAATAATAATAATAATAATAATAATAATAATAATAATAATAATAATAATTGTTTTAAAAAAATAAAAATAAATAAAAAATATAATTAAGCCAATCATATTAACTACTTGGGGTAAACTGCCCCGCAATGTCCTTGTTTAGCAATCAGCAGTTATCTCTTCAATATTAGTATATATTTAATATTTTATGCTCTAATTTTTATTTGCTCTCCTTTATGTCTCGTATTTGGTTTTAATAATACCTATACAATTATTTTATTGACAATTATAATCCATCTTGACTGTATTTATTTTGCATTTACTACTTTCCCAAACCCGGATTAAGGGACCGGGTATGAAAAAGTGAGGGACTAGTTGATGGGGTGAGGACCCCGGCCCAAGAAAGATTGGCCCAGGAGAGGGATCCAAGGTAAAAGACGTGGGCCTACATCGAAAGAGGCCCGGTAGGTGCTTGGGCCGAGTCCAGGAGCCGGCCCAGGCCCAAGCATAGGGGATTCGGCTCGATGCCGTTAAGGAGCCCAACGAGAGTCCGGGCCGCGTCATGGAGTCGTCTAGGGCCCAAGCCTAGAAAAGAGAACCGGTTCAGAGAGCCGTTGAGGGCATTGAAGAGCCTCATTTAAGGGACCCGGCCCACGAACCGTTAGGAGCACTAAAGACAGGACTCGGTCGGACTGTTACAAATCCGTTAGAGCCGTTGGCCGGTCTGGTAACGGTGCCCAATGGCTCGGTAAATGTAATTAGCATTGAGGTCGACCATTAATGGCCTTCAAGTCGATAGGAGGGGAGCCTGCTATATAAAGGCTCCTCCACCTGTGTAAAAGGGGACAAGTTGATCCCCAGAAAAAGAGAGAGATACTTGAAGTCATTACGAGTACTTCCACTTCTTTTACAATCCTTTGCGAAAGGTGAATCCACCAACTAAGGTTGTGTTGGACCTCCCTGGGCCCGAAAACCCAAAAACCCAACACTGGCGCCGTCCGTGGAGATCGAACTAAGAGTTGCATGGCTCTCTGAGCGAGGCGAGTCCAAGAAACAACCGGAAAGATTTCAATCGACAAGCGATCGAGAAAGCTTCTAGCATGGCGGGAGACCAAGAACAATTGAGCAACCACGGCCACGGACTGGGGGCAAATTTGAGGGACCAGTTGAACCAGCGAAATGCTCAGAGCCGGGAGAATGAGACGGCACCACCAGTGAACCAACAACTGCCTCAGGTACCTCTCACCCCGGAGCAACTCCATGCGATCGGGCGAGCCTTCGCAGAGGCAAGTCGAGAAGTAAGAAAACAATCTGTCTCTTGACCACCACGCCGCGATCCGCAACATCCCAGAGGCCGGAAGACCGGCAGGAGAATCGACGGGCTGAAAGTCAGCAGATACAGTCAGTCCACTCCAGGCTGGGCCCGAATGCTGGACGACAGTCGGCGAGAGAACGACTGGGACGGAGGGAGCCCAGCCGTGCACCGGCGGGCCCTCGAGATCGAGAAGCCGGGCGCGAGAGAGCTCACACCCGAAGAACCAGAACTAGAGCTCGTCATACAGAGCAACCTGTCCGCAACAATGGCCAACCGGCCGAATCTTAAGTCGGCGAAAGCACGGAGTCGACAGGAAACCATACCCATGATAGAGGCCAAGTAGCGCATCTAGTCCAGGAAGTGCGAAACCTGAAAGAGCAGGTGGAGGGGAAGACCAAATCCCCCGGTCGAACGTTGTTGACCGCCTTTCCCTTCTCAACCGAGATCATGACATTCAAGATGGCGGGTGACTTTAAGTTCCCAGAGCAAGTCACGTTCGACGGATCGGGTGATCCTCGAGAACACTTGCTGAGCTACCAAGCCAAGATGCAAGTCCTGGGTGTCCGGGACCCCATCATGTGCCGCGCCTTCCTACCCATGTTAAAGGGCTCGGCACAAAGATGGTTAGTGGCGGAGCCTCCGGGGTCGATCCATAATTTTGAGGAGCTGGTCGATCGCTTCATGAGCCATTACGCAGCTAATATCAAGCCGCAGAAAGACCTAACACATTTGGGCGATGTCCATTAAGAGGAAGGCGAGTCTTTGAAGACCTATCTGGCTCGCTGGTAGAAAGAAATCCAATCTATCGAGGAGGTCGAGGACCAGACCGCACTCACCTTCTTCATCGAGTCCTTACGATCCGGACAGTTATACCGGGATCTGCGGGATAACCGACCGGCCACCTACGCGGAAGCCATACACATGGCCAGTAAGAGGGCTAACACCGAGCAGGCCATGAAGCATAAACGACAACGCGAAGTTGGGGGATCCGCCAGCGGAAAGAGGACGCGAGCCGAGATCAAAGAGAGGCGTCCTGAAGCGACCCGGCGACCCGAGGTCCGACGACCATACGACAGGCCCGTCGTGCACCCCTATCGGTTGAACGGCCAGTGCATGAGATACAAGCATTTGCTCCACCTCCGCCTCCACCGATTGACGACCACGCAGTAAACGATGAGGCAGGTAAGACCTCTAAATACTGTCGTTACCACAAATCTTACACTCACAGCACAGAAGAGTGCTTCTACTTGAAGAAGATCATGGAGGGTATCATCCAGCAAGGGACCCCGCCTCCTAATCAGTGGAGGCGAAGGTCGGCAACGCGGGAGGACAGGGATCCCACCGCCGCCGCGGAGAGCGGTCGGGGCAAGCAGCCGGCTCCTGAGGAAGACGAGGCACAGTGGCGTCAAAAGCCGGTTATCAACATGATAGTCGACGGACCTGAGGGCGGCGACTCGGCGAATACCAGGAAGGCTTGGGCCCGACAGCTGTACGTCGGAACAGTATACGGGCGTGAGGAGGGCTCGAAGAAAGCGTGCCGAGAGCCGATCACGTTCACCGACAAAGATTTGCCCACAGGAGAGACACCGCATCGAGATGCGCTGGTCATAGCAATGGACGTGAACGGAGTAGTCGTTCGGCGAATCCTGGTCGACACCGGAAGCAGTGTCAACGTGTTATACTTCGAGACTTTCACAAAGATGGGATTGACTCGAGAACAGCTGAATCTAGTCAAGACACCACTCGCCGGTTTCACAGGGGACTCGGTGGAGGCAGAAGGATCCATCACCCTACCAGTTGAAATTGGCAGTTATCCCGACGTGCAGAAACTTAGTATGAAGTTCATCGTGGTAAACCTAGCCTACTCACACAATGCTATACTCGGTCGACCGGGTCTGGAGGATCTTGGAGCTCTGATTTCCATCGAACATCTCTGCCTGAAATTTCGCACACCAAGTGGGATAGGCACGGTGCGTTGTGACAGGAGAGTCGCCCGCGACTGCTACCTGCAGGCCTGCAGGGGGATGGGCAAGCGTGAGATGCAGGTCCATGAGATCACGGAAAGACCCCCAAAGAAGGTGATGATACCTCGCCCTGAGCCGGCCGTAGAATTGGAAGAGGTCGAGATCGACCCCGATCAGCCGGATAGGCGGGTCCGAATTGGGGTCGGCCTCCCCGAGGAAGTGCGAGAAGAAATCATTAAAGTGCTCCGAGAGCACCGGCTGGTTTTTGCCTGGGGTCCGGAGAACATGCCCGGCGTCGATCGATCCATCATTGCCCATCGACTCGCCGTGGATCCTGACCATCGACCAATCGTACAGAAGAAACGGTATCTTGCCAATGATCGGAGGGAGTTTGTAAAAAAGGAGGTGAGCACGCTGTTGGCCGCGGGCCACATTCGAGAGGTTAAATACCCGGAATGGTTGGCGAACGTAGTTCTTGTACCGAAGCCCCCAGCTTGGCGGATGTGCGTCGATTACACCGACCTCAATAAAGCCTGCCCTAAAGACCCGTTTCCCTTACCTCGGATCGACCAGTTGGTCGATGAAACCGCCGGGTCAGCCCTGCTAAGCTTCATGGACGCCTTCAGAGGGTACCATCAAATTTTCATGCACCTGACAGATGAGGAGAAGACCGCATTTCTAACACTGGATAGAGTGTACTGTTATCGAGTCATGCCCTTTGGACTTAAGAATGCTGGGGCTACTTATACACGAATGGTAGCACGGCTGTTCCAAAATCTGCTGGGAAAGTCCATGGCCGCGTACGTGGATGACATGCTCGTCAAAAGCCGGGAAGAGGGCAAGCATGCGGGAGATCTGGCTGACTGCTTTCAAGTGATGATAAGATATAATCTTCGGCTGAATCCTAAGAAATGTGCCTTTGCGGTGCAAGGCGGAAAATTCTTAGGATACATGGTTACCAAGCGAGGCATCGAGCCTAACCCTGAGAAGGTCCAAGCCATCATCGACATGCAGCCTCCCAGTACCGTCAAAGACCTACAACGGTTGACTGGTCGACTGGCTGCCCTCAGTCGCTTCCTGAGCAAGGCGGCGGATAAAACTGTACCCTTCTTCGAGGCCATGAAGAAGAAGGAAGGCTTCGCCTGGACAGCCGAGTGCTAGCAATCGTTTGAGGAATTGAAGCAGTACCTTTCTACGCCTCCAGTATTATCCACTCCCCAGGTGGGCCTCTGTTTTTATACTTGATCACTTCCCCCAAGGCGGTGGGCTCGGTGCTGGTCCGAGAAGAGGAACGTGCCCAGCACCCGGTATATTACGTGAGCCGCTCCTTGAAGGCCGCCGAAACACGGTACACGGCCTTGAAAAAAATCGTTTACGCGCTGGTAATCACTGTGCGTAAGTTAGCGCCCTATTTCCAAGCCCACGCTGTCCGAGTGCTGACTGACCAACTGCTGGGGAGCGTCTTGCGGAACCCCTCGTCGTCCGGTCGCCTGGTGAAATGGGCCGTGGAATTAACACAGTACGAGATCGAGTATCAGCCACGACCTTCTATAAAAGGTCAAGCCTTGGTCGACTTCTTGGTCGAATGCACTCCGGGGGAGGAAGAAAAAGAACGCATCTCGGAAGATGGTCTAGGCGAATGGTGGGAGATGCACACGGATAGAGCTGCCAGTCGACAACATTGTGGGGGCGGAGTCATGCTAATCACTCCAGAGGGATTCCGACTGTATTACGCCCTGAGCTATTTGTTCCCTACGTCCAACAACGAGGCCGAATATGAGGCAGTGGTGAATGGCCTTCGACTCGCCAAAGCACTGGGGGTAAAACGATTGCGGATCAAAACTGACTCAAGGTTGGTAGTCGGGCATATCTTCGGCACATGTGAGACTAAGAACGCCCGGATGACCATGTATAAGGCGAAGGCGGTAGAGATGTTAAAGGAGCTTGTGGCCTACAAAATAGAATATATTTCCCGAACGGACAATGTGGAGGCCGATATATTGTCCAAGATCGCCTTGGAAGGAGTTCCAGATCACCTCATTAAGATTTGTCAGAAGGAGGAACTAAGTCGGCCAAGTATCGAGGAAACGCCATTGGAAGTCCAGCAGGTGGCTTGTGAAGAGTGGGATCGAGAGAAAAACCCCGAGATGTTTTGGATCAATGATATCCGACGGTTTAAAGAGACAGGCGAATTGCCCGAAGACCCAGGAGTCGCCGCCAGGGTTCGAAGGAAAGCCCATTCGTTCCAAATCATCGATGGGCAACTGTACAAGCGGTCATTCGGAAGCCCTCTTTTGAAATGCCTGCTCAGGCCCGAGGCTGAGAAGATAATGGATGAAGCTCATAGGGGCATTTGCGCTGCTCACCAGGGTGCCCACACACTTGCCAAGCCTTCGCCAGGAAGGACACCCGGCCGGCCACCTTTTACACACCAGTGACCACAGCCATCCCTTTCGCCAAGTGGGGGATCGACTTGTTGGGGCCATTACCAGTCGCCCCGGGAAGCCTGAAATTCTGCGTAGTAGCCATCGATTACTTCACTAAGTGGGTCGAGGCCGAACCGCTAGCCACCATCACCGAATATCAATGCCGACGCTTCCTATGGAAGAAGGTGGTTTGCCGCTTTGGCCTGCCCGAGCATATCGTTAGCGACAACGGTCGACAGTTCGATTGCCAAGCGTTCGCCGACTTCTGTCGTCGACACGATATCCGTCACACCAAGGTATCCGTCGCGTACCCCCAGGTGAACGGACAAGTCGAGAACGCGAATCGGACTATAGTGGACGAGATCCGGAAGAAGTTGGAGGACATCGGAGGAAATTGGGCGGATGAGCTTGACCGAGTCCTCTGGGCCTACCGAACCACACAAAGACGGGCGACTGGAGAGAGCCCATTCTCCCTAGCATACGTTTTTGAAGCCAAGGTTCCTGTGGAGGTCGTGGAGCCCACCTACCGAGTTCGCAGCTATTCCGACGAAGAGAACGAAGAAAGCCTTAGAATTGAAAAGAACTTCCTAGAAGAGAGAAGGGAGGTGGCCTGCGCCCGTATGGTCGAATACCAACAAGCCGTAAAAAGGTATCGCGACCGAAGGATTCGCCCACGAGCTTTCCAGGTCGGCGATCTCGTGCTGCGGGACCGACAGGCAAGCCAGCCCACGGAGGGGGGCAAATTCGCAATTAAGTGGGAAGGACCCTATCGCGTTACGGCAGCGGTTCAGGCCGGTACTTACAAGCTCGAGACCCTGGAAGGAAAACCAGTGGACCGACTCTGGAATGTCGTTCATTTGAAGAAATTCTATCAATAAAGAGGTTAGACCTGTACCCGAGTTTTTTATCCTAATAAAAGAGCACCTTTTATCCTCGATCGTTGCCCTCCCCATGACAAGGAGTCGCCTCGACTGAGGGACTCGGAGAGAAAAGATAGGGAACAAGGGCCCAGACCCTTAGTCGTTTCTGAGAAAAAGCTAAGAGGAGTTGCCTCGATTGAGGGACTCAGCGAGTATATAAAGAAACAACGGGGAACTGACCCTAAACCGTTTCTAAGAAAAGAAAAAGCCTAAGGAGTCACCTCGACTGAGGGACTCGGCGAGAAAAGATAGGGAACGAGGGCCCAGACCCTTAGTCGTTTCCAAGAAAAAGCCAAAAGGAGTCGCCTAGACTGAGGGACTCAGCGAGTATATAAAGAAACAACGGGGCAATGACTCTAAACCGTTTCTAAGAGAAGAAAAAGCCTAAGGAGTCGCCTCGACTGAGGGACTCGGCGAGAAAAGATAGGGAACAAGGGCCCAGACCCTTAGTCGTTTCCAAGAAAAGGCCAAAAGGAGTCGCCTCGACTAGGGACTCGACGAGTATATAAAGAAACAACGGGGCACTGACCCTAAACTGTTTCTAAGAAAAGAAAAAACCTAAGGAGTCGCCTCGACTGAGGGACTCGGCCAGAAAAGATAGGGAACAAGGGCCCAGACCCTTAGTCGTTTCCGAGAAAAAGCCAAAAGGAGTGCCTCGACTGAGGGACTCGGCGAGTATATAAAGAAACAACGGGGCACTGACCCTAAACCGTTTCTAAGAAAAGAAAAAGCCTACGGAGTCGCCTCGACTGAGGGACTCGGCGAGAAAAGATAGGGAACAAGGGCCTAGACCCTTAGTCGTTTCCGAGAAAAGGCCAAAAGGAGTCGCCTCGACTGAGGGACTCAGCGAGTATATAAAGAAACAACGGGCACTGACCCTAAACCGTTTCTAAGAAAAGAAAAAGCCTAAGGAGTCCCCTCGACTGAGGAACTCGGCAAGAAAAGATAGGGAACAAGGGCCCAGACCCTTAGTCGTTTCCAAGAAAAGGCCAAAAGGAGTCGCCTCGACTAGGGACTCGACGAGTATATAAAGAAATAACGGGGCACTGACCCTAAACTGTTTCTAAGGGAAGAGACAGCCTAAGGAATCGCCTTGACTGAGGGACTCGGCAAGAGTATAAAGAAGAGTCACCTCGACTGAGGGGCTCAACGAAGGGTTAGACCATTTTAGAAGAGTCCAATGCCTTAGCTATGTTTTGGTTTTAAAACTCGCAAAGCAGTTAAAGGAAGATCGAGACCAAGATAGTTCAGGAGGAGCAAAAAGCAGGAATTTTATTAAATTAAAAAGCCCGAGAGGGAGGCCAACCCTTACAAAAAAAGGTATCTAAAAAAGACTAGCCCTAAGCTACAGGGGAGGGGTATCGACATCGACTCCTTCAACTTGCTCTCCTGCTGATGGTCCAGACGGGAGAACAGAAGGAGGGTCCTCTGCCTGAAGGGGAGACTCGGTGAGATCAGTAGGCGTTGCCAGCGGTCGCCGGCAAAAGGTCCAGCACGGGCTTGCGGCCCCAGCTCTCGGGGGTAAAAGTGGAATTGCGGGCCAGCAAGGCAGCGTAAGTTTCCGTCTGAGCCTCACGGAAACCAAGGCGATAGTCGCGCTTGCCCAAGTCCAAGAGATAGTCATCCCCCTCCGGCGTCGCCAGCCACTCCTTGGCAATCTCCTTTTGCTGAGCCGCTACTGCCGCCTTCACGTCCGCCTCGAAGGCCGCCGACTTCTTGTAATCCTCCACCGAAGTCGCAGCGATAGTCGCAACCTTGTCTCGCTCCTCCTCCCACTGACGAGTAACCCTCAGCAACTCGGAGGTATGCACCTCCACCGACTTGGCGTGCTTAGCCTGCTCTTCCAGGAAAGCCTCCTCTGTTTGGCGCAGTTGAGTGGACAGAGACTGCAGCCCCGTCTTGTACCCCCTCAGCCGCCTGCTCATTTCCATCTGGAAGGTGAGGTTCTACAAGGACGAAGGAAGTTAGATAAGAGAAGAAAAGAACGAAAAGGACAACGAGTCAGAAACACTTACGCGGTATGATTGGCGAAGCGAGGCCTCGAGGATGTATTCGTCTGGCATCGCGCCAGTCATCTCCACGTCCTTAGGTAAAAGAACGTGGTCGGCCCAGGAGCGGACGGAATAACTGCCTTGCCAGGTTTGGGCGTCCTCATCAAGCTCGATGCCCAATCGGATCCGCTTCGGAGTCGGGGCATCTGATTACTCGATTGGACGCTTAGAGCTCGGACTCTCAGACGGAGGAGGAGGCGGCAGTCGAGAAGGCGAGACGACGGGCGACGGCGTCAAGTCAACCACGGTGCGTGATGGTGGAGGAGTCAACCTCGGGGCCGGTGACGGCTGGGACGAGGAGGCAGCAGCGGAACCAGAGGCGCGTTGGGACAACCGACGCCCCATCTTTTCAGCTCTGTTAGCCATCTCGGGAGTCGGAGCGGCAGCCTCGTCGGAACTGGTGGAGTCGGAGTCGTAAGGACCTGAAAAAGGAGGAGTTAGTGTTGGCAGTCGGACCAAGAAAGAAAAAGAGAAGGACATGTGAAGAACTACTTAAGGTGGCCGCGCCGTCTGGCAGCAAGCCTCGTTTTGCCATGGCCCGGACTCGAGACCAGTACTTAATGGAGTACGGCCCCAAGCTCTTCAAGAACTCGCCGCCCTGGATCGCATCTTGGGAGAAGACGGCGCGCCGAGAGCAGGGCTTGAACAGAGCGGCTGGCCACAGGGTCGGAAAAGTGAAAGGAGAGAAAGATGGACGAACGAAAAAATAATAGGGCGTCCAGTCCTTAATGGAGTCGGAAAGACCCTCGAAGAGTTGTCGCCCCGGACGGGCGGCAACTTGGACAAAGCCCCGCGAGTTTGAGCCGACCTTATTCACAGTGAATAAGTACCGGAAGAGGTCTAGATCTGGCTCACACATCCACCAGTGACATAGGTTTATGAAGTAGGTGAGGAGGCGGTGAGAATTGGGCACTAACTGGCCCAGAACCAAATTGTAATGACGATAAAAAAGAGAAAAGGAACGGACAGGGAGGCACTCGGAAGCTAAAGGCGAACGAGTGCAGATGTATACCTACACAACCCTCCGGCGGGTCGTAGATGGGCCGGCTCTCCGGGGCGAAGACTAAGGCCGAAGGCCCAAGTAGAAAGCGGGCCATATCTAGGTCTGCCGCGGAAACTTGCGAAGGGGACCCTGCCGGCCGGACGATAGAGTCAAACTTGCCCCTCGGCAGTCCGGCGCCACTGGGCAGGGCTGCCACCGTCGTGAGAGGGGCGGGGCTCATAGGAGTAACCGCCCCCGAAGAAGAGGGGGCCGGTTGAGAAGAAGACGCCGATAGAAGGCCCGCCGGGATTTCCATGCGACGAGGACTGGAGGAAGAAGAGGAAGACGAGGAAGTCGCCGCGGGGTTCTCCGCCGAGCGACGGGAAGAAGAAGAAGATTCGGAGGAGGAAGACATTTACCAACCTGAGTGTGGGCTGAGGAAAATGCAGAGAGAATCGGAGGAGCTTGGCGCTGGGTGTGGAGAGTTGGAAGAAAGTGAGGAGAAGAGGGAAGGAGATGGCTATTTAAAAGAGGTGGAATCCCAAAGGATGGCTACGTGTCACCCTCTCATTGAAGGAGAAGAGGGTGACAAGAGGTGAAAAGACGCCGTAATTAATGCCTCGGAAAACGGGGAGACGGTTTGGACCTAGGGTTAGCCTGCGAATGACGCGCCTACCCTAGGCCAAAACTGGCGGCAGTGACCCGGCCCGCTAAGCCAAAAGCCCATTGTAGGCCACGGCCTCTGGCCTGTAACACCCCAGATTTTCAAGACATTTAAAACTTATAATAAAGGTAGAATCTTATTAAATCCCAAGATATAAATACAAGCGTTCGGGGTGCTATGCCACACCTGGGCTAGAGAACCCAAGTGCACAGGCTAACTAACTAATATTCTCAAAGCGTAAATACGTAAACGTGGCACGCAGGCCAAAAGGGAAACTATCTACTTCTAAGTTCTAGCGCACTCCAGTGATTTAATCTTCTGTGCCTGAAAGCCAAATATATCTGTTCAGCGAGAGATGTTGGTAACCCACTCCAACGCGTTGAAATACAATACAG